CCCAAACAAGTGACTGAGCTAAAATCTTTTGAAGACGACATGCTAACCATGATCCAGAACATCAAGTTTAGACCTGTAAAATGCAGCTTTCAGAAACAATTGAACAATGATGTCAAGACCTACATCAAGAAACCAGACACGGTAGTTGTCCCTGCGGATAAAACGACAAATTTTTACGCATTGCAAAAATCCTGTTATCAAAAGCTCATCACCGAAAATGTGACCAAAACATACAAGAAGTCAACTAATAAAACTGTCAAACAAATCAATAAGAAAGCCGCTAGTATATCGAGGAAGCTTAAATTAGATGACCGAATCGAAGTGCTAGCACAGAAAGAAGCCTTTATAACTTTGAAAGACCATAAACCCGAATTCCAAAACCATCCTACATGCCGTTTAATCAACCCCACCAAATCCGAGATTGGTGTAATTAGCAAACACATCCTCGACGAAATAAATGCAGCAATTATTAACGCAACACAGATAAACCAATGGAAAAACACATCAAGTCTTTTGAGATGGTTTAACAACTTGGAAAACAAAAAATCGTTCTCGTTTATATCTTTTGACGTTTGTGACTTCTACCCATCCATAACCGAGAAATTACTGAATAAAGCATTAGATTTCGCCAGCAAATACCGACACATCAGTAAGCAAGAACGCGACATCATCCTACATACAAAACAGTCGCTATTATTTTGGGATGGCAAACCATGGGAGAAGAAAAATTCAAACAACAAATTTGATGTAACCATGGGATCATTCGACGGAGCAGAAACGTGTGAGCTGATAGGGTGCTATCTCCTGTCCATCCTTACGATAAAGTCCGGCCAGAACATCGGACTTTATCGAGACGACGGCCTATCAGCATTCCAACACACACCACAAGGGATTGAACGAATAAAAAAAGATCTGTGTAAAACCTTTCGCGAGAACGACTTAAAGATCACAATCGAAGCTAACGTAACCGTTGTCAATTTTTTGGATGTCACGCTCGATCTAAAAAGTGGCAAACATTGGCCGTACTCCAAACCAGGAAACGTTCCCTCGTACGTGCATGTAAAATCTAACCACCCCCCAATAATTTTGAGAAACATCCCTGAAGCCATCAACAAACGCCTCTCAGAACTATCGTCAGACGAAGATTGCTTCAATAAAGCCAAACCCTTATATCAAGATGCATTGAACAAAAGTGGCTACAACTACAACTTAAGATATAACGATGCACCGCAAACACACAGAAACCGACCTAGGAACATTACATGGTTTAACCCACCCTACAGTAGAAATGTTGAAACCAATGTAGGAAAATGTTTCCTCGAATTAATCGACCGTCACTTTCCAAAATCAAACCCACTCAGCAAAATATTTAATCGCCACAACCTCAAACTAAGCTACAGCTGTATGAACAACATTAAAACTATGATCTCGGGCCACAACAAATCTCAATTATCCAAACCAAAGGCCACCGCCGATACAACGAAAAATTGCAATTGCAAAAAAAGTCCTTGCCCAATGGACAAGAACTGTCAGGCTGACAGCATAATATACCAAGCTGAAGTAACTACGGAGGATTCGCAAGAAACGTACGTCGGACTTTGCGATACTGAATTCAAGTTAAGGTATAACAATCACCAATGCTCGTTCAATCATGAAAGGTATAGAAACGTAACGCAGTTAAGTAAACACATATGGAACTTGAAAGACCAAAAGCTCAAATACCAAATCAAGTGGAAGCAAGTAAGACAAGCTAGATCATACACCAACGTCAGCAAAAAATGCAACTTGTGCTTATGGGAGAAATATTATATAATACGTCAACGTAAGACTGCAACGCTCAACAAAAGAAGTGAACTTATGTCGGAATGTAGACATTTAAAGAAATTTTTATTGGACAATGCAATTACTTAGTTAGAACGATGAACTATAGTTTTTTAACACTTAGCATATAAACATTATCTTAATCCATCCGTGAAACAATACAACAATGAACATAATAATGTAGAGACAATGAACCCCATACACTTAGATTTTATACAAATTTAATATGACTTTTTAGCATTTTTAATTTATTGTAATTTTGTTTATCAATGAACTTGTCATGTAACATCTTCGATCGGCATTCGCCTGACGATTGCTTCAGCAGAAGCATGAAACTCGGAGTAGCGATTAAATGTTTTTAAATTAAGAAGTCTCTCTTAACTATATATATATATATATATATATTGCATCAATCACCACTATAAGGCCATATAAAAAAAATAGTTGGTTATCGTCCTTAGCTTTTGCCAAAAAGTGGGCGGGCGGGCGCTTTTTTTTAAATTTTTACTAATTTTTAACGACTTTAACGCCTTGGTTTTACTCACTGTTAGGTCCGAAACTGGATTTTCTTGCGCAGTACAGATATTTTTTTATATATTTCAAAATATAATTCATACCGTCATTTTCGCACGCAATTTCGCAAATTATTAACACAATTGACTGCAGTCAACAGAAATACTACATATATTAGAGCCCGTTGATCAATAAAAGTCGGGGTTTTTTTAAATAAAAAATAAAAAAAATCCTGAGCGGGGCCTTTTTTGTGGGCGGGCGGGGACGCTAACCAACTATTTTTTTTTATGTGGCCTAAGTACGAGTGAAACAGAAGTTTCTGTCCCTGAAGAAAATTTGTTGTTGGAAGCAGTTTTCCCTTATTTTTTGTATGAAATATTGATACATCCAGACGGTACTACAGTATGGTGCCCTGAGCATGCGCAAAAAGAAGTGCACCACAAGCGCAAAAACATACTATTTTTGAATAAATACCAAAGCTTATGCTTCCGAACGGACTGAGAAACTAACAGATTAACAAACTCGCGCAGCGAATGGGCATCGCAACTAGTTAAATTTTGCCTCGGTAAACTGTTTGCACAGAATGCAAGAAAGGATTCGCTGGAATTTAATTTTGGTGCAGTGCCCGTCTGTTTTAATCGCAAAATGACCAAACGTTTCGAGCCCCTCATAAAAACGCAATTTGGCGTCACATTAGCCTCCGACCTCTCTCACCGATAACACATACTTCAATGTAGTTTCCCAAAATTTGGTGCTTTACAAGCAGTATATTCACAATAGATTTGTCATACGTTTTCCCCGTTCCTTTTGAAAAAATTCACATCGCAGCCGCCAGGCTGAATTACGTATTATTTACAACAATTGGGTTTAATTAATTAATATATTTAATTATCACTTGTTTACTGAGACCGAGGGAAACAGTGTGTTTTGTAGACCTGAGACCGCAACAACCGGCGGTCGAGGGCCACAAAACACACTGCTTTCCCGAGGTCTCAGTAAATAAGTGTTTTGCTCAAAGAGTGTATAAGTGTCAAAGTATGAATAATTCACTGGTTATAGGAGTGAACTTAATTTGAAACCAAAACTAACTGGATAAATGGAACGCCGTAAATTTTTAATAAAAAGTTTAGAAAATAAACTTTGGAACTTCATGGTTGAAGCGCATGCGCATTGCAACCATCCTATTGTTAACCGTTTAATAACTGTTACATTGTTGATGTTGACCGGTTGCCTCCTCGCCAAAGCCTGCAGTGAACATGACGTTTTGTGGACCGGCACGTGATACGGTTTTGTCCAATCGGCAAACAGAAAAATTGAACTCTGACACTAACTATATAACAACTAAATTTATACGATCAAAATTACAAAATGTGCGACGAGTATACTTTTTAAAAAACTGTAACGATTCACAGCCCTTCGTTTGGCTGTGCTTAACATACTACTGTTCATATTTAATTAGTTTTGTATCAATTTTTAAACTTTAGGTTGCATTAATTGTTTCTACAATCTTGGACATAACTGGTTGAGACTATTTTCCCCCCGTAGAAAATTCGCGTATTTTTATGATAAACTCCATGTTGAATCATGTTGCCATTCTTAAACCCCCGCTCCCCCAACTCAATGTTGAGCTTGTATCATGGTATATTACCAAAAGTTGTTTCGGCGTTGTTCACAACATTGAACTGGGGGGAGGGGGGGACAAAGTTTGTTTTGTCAATGTTCAATAACTTTGTAATATTAGCTGAAATGGTCTCAAGGGTTTTGTCCAAGATTGTCTGAAGCACACTGAATTTAATTGTGCATTATAACTCAATCTTTTTTAATTTTCTTCCACTCCAGTACTCTGAAAGACGGATATACACGTTACTTCTTGTTTTTCGAGCAATATATATATTCGTTTGCATGAAAAGCGAGCAAAATAATGCCTATTCGAACCTGTCACATCCTAAAATATACGCATGAAACGCATGAATTTTTCTTGTTGTTTCATCTAAAATATATAGTTTTCTACTGCCAGAAGCGAGTAATATCATGTTACTAGGGCATAGAAGTCGAGACACATGCATTGGGATTAAATTCAATTACGTAAATATCACGTTCAAGTGTTGCTGTGTATTGGTATTTTCTATAAGATGACGTCATTTGTTCTATAGTTGATCAGCCTCAAACTTGCTTTTAAAACTTATAATTTAACCCGAAATTTTTTATATGACGGTTAACCAAGTATAATCTTTATCGTGGTTTGATAAAAGAACGGTAAACAGGCCATTAGAACGGTAAACGGCGACTCCAATTTAAAACAATGACTAGACCTATCATTTACTATAATATCTTGCTACTATCCCCGTTTACCGTTAATATCACATCAAATCTTTTCGTTAATCGTTTGAAATGTTCTTATATATTATTATAAAAGGTTTATGCTCCAAAAGTCATGGCGATATACTCGTATTTCTTTACTATGGCCAATTTGAACATTGTACAGGCGACTCTTTGTTCCTCGTGGGGGGTCGCCATACTATAATAACCTGTGAAAAGTGCCGATTGCCTATATGAAAATAGCTGTGTAGACAACGTTTAGCATGTCCATGATTCCATTTCTTTTGAAACTCTGTAGCTATGTTCTGTAGCAGTAGCTAATTGGTTCAAATGGACCAGGAAACGTT